TATTTTATTCTTGGATAAGAGGAATTCAATGATAACAAGGTTTTAATGAAATATACGGTAAAACTTATGAATTTGTTGTCTTATTCTTGCGATAGACTGCGATTATATCCGTCAATACGATGGCAACGATCACACAAATCATGACAATTGTGGCGATGTTTTTGTTGCGCTCTCTCTTCACCTCATCCTCGTCGGCCTTCTCGAGAGCGCCCGACTCTCCGGGTCGACCACCCGATGACCCCTTCCTATCGCACCCGAAGTACTTCCAAACTTCAAACAGAGAAATTAATACTGTTTTTCAATAATTTCTAATACTTTCCACCCATTTATCTGATATTAAAAATAAGTTATTGAAAAAACATGTCAAATACTGTTTAATTTATTGCAATATAATTTATTTATTACCGGTATAAAATTTCTAATATTATTTTAAATAATCAATTAATTTGACAACACATTCGTTAACAATTCATACAAACATAACTAAACAACAACAATTGATATTAAAATACGGTACAAAAGATGACTTAAAAATAGTTGACTTATAAAATTAAAGCTCTTGTGACTTTGTATGGCAAATAGCGGTACTAATGACTAAGTATATCAAATATAATACTTGTACATTTAGACTAAAGTTTAGTCATGTATTAATTCATATATAAATGTGTTTTGCGATTAATTAACCAATGATTGGTCGCATATCACCAATGGTTTAGTCTGACTCTCAGTGATTACATGTAAACAACAATTAAGTATTAAATAAAATAAAATATAAACTAAACAAAACGAGATACATAGTTGCACGCTTAATAGACAATTACATAATAATAAAATAAAAACAAAACAAATCTAAAAACAAAACAAATCTAAAAATAATTAAAAACAATCTAAAAATGAGATATATTAATCAGACAATATCTTGGTGATCTAATATTGAGATCTTTAGTTTCAATAGATTTTACACTTAATCACATATTTAAGGCTCACGTCCCGTAGGCTGTAGTAGCCGTCGTTAATAAGTGGTGTGCCGTTTGAGTTCATCATAAACGTCGAGTTGCGGCGAAACTCCACGGGCCAGTACGTCAAATACTGGCGCCGCTTCTTGGGGTTAGGGGGCCGGTAGGTGACAACGGGGGCCGGAATGGGCGCGAAATTCTGGGCACCAATCAAGCCGATGGTGTGTGCGGTGCGAATGTGCCTCGGGAAGTTGTATTCCTTACGCGTAAGCCATTCCCAGTAATCCTTTTTACTAGTGAACACTTCCCTACAGAATACACACATTTGTATTATATTATAATTATAATCGCGTCAACAGTTACTTACGTGTCGTGGGATACGTGAGGTTTGTGGCATACAGGTATCCAAACGGTAGATCCATTAGGGCGGGCGTATGGAACACAATCGGAGGCCTTTTGGACCGTGTATATGAAGCCACTGGTGCCCGCCTGCACCCCATACTTTAGAATGGAGGCTATCTTTTTGAGTGGCGTTGGCAACCATACGGCCTCTCTGTTCCAGGGATCCGAGCTTTGGTCTGAAGTGGAAGTGGCGTAGATTTCAACCGCTCTCAGACTCTTCCCATTGTGGCGCTCATAGTCAACGAATCCATGGCTGTGTATGAGACCATTGATGATAGGCTTCGCTTCCATGCTTTTCAGAGCGATGGAATGGGTGTATTGGCGCAGACACTCATAAAGCTCTGTCTCGTACGGCGCGTAATACGCGTGGACTTGGGCCACAGCATTGGCGGCGGTAATAGTGGCGGCAATGCCAGCGCTGAGGTCTCTTTGGCACACTTCGGCGTAGCGCGAGTTGTTGCCAGCGATGATCGCGTCGGTATGGGACCATATATTGGCGCAGCCGTTCACTATAGGCGCCATACACGCGGCCAACTCCGATACCGGTGCGCCACAATACCCGTAGTAACTGTCGTCGCCCCGAGTGCCCACAAACACCTTTCCCTTTCTCCACCGCTGTGTCTCACTTTTAGTGCCATAATCGGCGGCCATTCTCTCACTCTGTGTCCCCGTCTCACCCGTCAGATCTGTTTCGATGACAGTTTGCATTCAGATGGCTGTAATATAATCACAATCAGTGTCTATACTCACAAATGTGTTGATTGCCAGCTCACACGCATACACAACCACTTGTGACTTATATTTCGATGAATTCAGTGACCGATCTATGAAAACAATGTAAATGAATTGAGTGTCGAATGAAATGAATTGTCTATTAATGGCAATACCTGTGATTTAGTGTCGAAATGGTTTGACTGTCAACACAAGTATGAGTTGAAGGAGTTTGGGCGCTAAAATCTCATGTATTTTACCTCACGTGATGTTTTATTGGCGGCATTTTCTGAAGCATGAGCAGTGAATCTATGCAGTCATTGTGTGGAAAGGTATGAATCGTATAGAGTACGTGATGTGTAACAATAGGTCATCACTGGTGTCTTATGTGAACGGCATATATTAGACGCGATTTCTACACCTTTCCCTACCACTACAGCTCCCTATCACACCGCACCACACTAGACCACCTTTCCCGCGATATTGGAACCGGCACTGGACGTAAATGCCGTGATTTACCGGTAGTTGTGGTGTATGTGTGTGCCGTGTCACTGCGGACACACACATACACCACATAAACATTGCCATAATTATGACATCATAGTCTGTCTGTATGGTGTCTGTATAGTATCATAGGTTTATGTAATATAACTTGTTACATAACATACTATTGATAAGTAAGGCTGACATAGTCCTCCCATCTCTTGCAAAACATGTTTACCACTCGACCACACATGCAATGCATACCTATTTCGTGTTAATTGAGTGGATTTACTGTAAATGGTCGACAATGTAATGAATAGGAGTGATACTGTAGCACAGAATTTGCAGAATATTCTCCAAAATAGAAATCAATTCCACGAGAAATTTATTCACAACTTTATTTATAGTTTAGTGATATTTATGTTAAATTACTTTTACTTAAAATTCATTTACAACTAAATCCCTGCATTGAGATAATGGTTAAACAAAACATGTTGTAAATAATTGCAAAATTGCCGGCTACTATAAGTGCAAAATAAAAGCATTAGTTTTCAAACTCAGGAATTGGTAACAAAAAATATATTTAAAATTAAAAACACATTTCAAACAGCGATTTATGGGAAAGTATTCAACGGGCCATCAGCTGCCGGCCCAACACTCTTGCGGTGCACTTTTCGCACGCCTTTCCCGTAATGCCTGCCGGAGCGCAAGTGCAGCGACACCCGCGACCTTTCCTCCGGGGACCGCTGGACCTCCACATTGAACAGAACCAAGAGGTCGTCCCCATCGAGAAGTGTCGTTTCCTCGGCCACGTCGAAGTGGTCGTTGTGTTGGTTCGACCTATTCTTCCAGATGTTCACAAACACCAGACGTCTTGTGTCCACTCGATTCGGCAGAACCGCTGCCGTATTGAGTCGATGGTAGCGGTTGGCGGGCGTCGTCTCGAAGCGCCAGACAAGCCATAGCTGAACGCCATTCACTTCTTTCCAACTGTAGGCGTACACTATCTTCCGGTGACTGAATACCCCTCCCATCAGGAGTTTGCGATCCTTTTCGCAGAACTGCTCATCGCATCCAATCATTACCACAAACAGTGATATTATCTGCAAAACTGTTATTAATGTAGAGTCTACATTGTAGACATTGCTATGCAATGAAAACAGCGATCGATTAGAAAACTGTTACAAACGCTGTCAAAAAGTTTTTATGCAAAACTAATTGAGAGGAAAAGAGTTTTACTAAAACTGTAGACAAATTCAATAATAACTACAGTATTACTGATTATATGATTTGACAAAATCTCGTGAAAATTGGTTTAAATTTGCTGAACATTTGTGAATAGAATTGCGAACTCAATGTTAAGATTCCGTTAGCTTTTCATTGGAAGCGATGTCTGGTTTTGATTGCAATCGGTTTGTGAATCTCTCGGCCATCGATGGCTTAGGAGATGAGCTCAAGTGTGGCATCTGTTTGAATATCTTGAACAAAGCGGTGACCACCAAATGCTTGCACACCTTCTGCCGTAAATGTCTCAAGAAATCCGTCACAAAGTATGGTCGCAAAGAGTGTCCTAAATGTGGACAATCATTGGCCACAAGGAAGAGACCAATTGATGACTTGAATGATGAGAATATGATACTCATTGGAAACGATGTTTTGGTCCACAAGAATATGACGGCCAGTAATATCATCTCTAATGTCTTGCGAATCAGATGTGATTACCAATGGAATGGCTGTGAAGAGGTGATGGCATTGGAATCACTGTCTGCCCATCTGGAGACATGTGGCCATAAGACATGCCAAACCTGTGGACACATTGTTGGGAAGACACCCGAAGACCACAATTGTATTGAACTGCTGAAGAGAGACAAGGATTTATTGAGACAAAGGGTATCCGAACTGGAGATCAGAAACCAGGAGTTGAGTAAAGCATTAGATTTTGAGAATATGTTGGATGAAAGCAATGACAGCCAAATACAAGAATCGGATGACTGGACAGTGTCTCTCTCGATGACACTCAATGAAACCAATACTGATGATGAATAATGCCTACCAGTGATCACTAGGCTATTAATAGACAAAATTCTATTCATTTTAGTGTTTTTTCAATTCAGTTTAATTTTCATTAACTTTTAATTCATTTATTATTTATTATTCTAAATACTTTATACAGTATTATATTATAAATTCCGTAATTCATAGAATTTTTCACTGATTCTTTGTAGCAAACATACCTTAAATTGATTCAGATGTTACAGTATAACTGTGAATAAAAACTTTTTTGATATTTGTCAATAAAACATTTTTACTATTTAAAAATTATTTTGTTTAAGAATTATAAACAATTGTTTAATTCTGAATATTAATATAGTATTTAATTCACGTTTAATTATACTGTTAATTACAATTATAATAGTTTTATATCAATTATAATAAACAAAAAAGTTGTCAAATGAATCCATACGTAGCGTAAAGTTGTTGCAGAAGTTCATCCTTTCGTAGTTGTGGTAAAAACGATGATTTCAAAGCATTTATATTCTGGACATTTGACATCAATTCATAATTAGCCGACAATTCTGTAATCAGACAATACTTACGGCTCGAGTGAAGTGGAGTTCATTTAATCCCAATTTAGTGAGGAATCTGTATTCGGCGTCAAGAGTGCAGTCAAATACCGTCGGATCGTCTTTATTGATGGAGAAGTTGGCGCCCTCTTCGGCCAGTTTGAGGATCGGGTGTCTGACCGATGGGTCGACACCACCCGTAAAATAGCTGGAGTGCGGGCACGTCTCGAAGTGGATGTTTTGAGCCAAACACTTCAGGTAGACATTGCTATCGAGTACACCATTATACCCGTGTCCTATTCGCTCGGCGTGTAGGCGCTCCACAGCGAACTCCACGTTAACAGCGGGTCCCACCTCTCCCGCGTGGACTGTGCGATGAATACCCAACTCCTTTGCCTTCGTGAACGTATTGATCACATCCTCATTGAACGAATGCGTTACCGTTGAGTGTCTGTTCTCAGGACCCGCTATATCGATGCCAACGACACCCTTATCTCTAAACTGTTGCACCAATTCTAGCACTTCTTTATCCCACTCTAGAAAAGTTTCATTTCATTTGATTCGTAAATAAGAAATTCATTGATTGAATACAGGAATTGTGAAATACCGGGGAATTGAGTCATACACGAGAGTATAAGTGAAGAGTAAACTCCGAACTCCTGTTCCCCTCTCTTCAGACCCTTTAACACACTTTCGATCACTTGCTTAGGGGTGCAGGGGTTGGCGGGATGTGTGTACTTTTCTGTGGGTATATCTTCGCTGAAGTTTCCCTCTTCTCTCCACACGTTCTCCACTGTATTGGAGGACAGTTGGGGTGACATCCGGACCTCGAAGTACAGAACCCCTTCTTTTGCCTCGTCTTCACATAATTCATATGCGATTCTCTCGAGTATATCGGCGTCACCACTGAATAAAGTCATTATGGTTATTTGCAAATACGGTATAAAGTTCTATATGGAAATTATTGATTCAAAATACTAACACAAAAATCTTGTAATAATCAGATATCAAATTCAAGCATTCCTTAAGAGTTTCTGGTTTTTTCATGACATAGACATCTTTTAACTCATCGAAAGTTCCGTTTGGCGTTAGTTTTATGCCTTTGTGTCAAAATATAACACTTGAATAGTTTTGGTAATTCAAATTCAATGCATTATTCTTTGATTACCCTTTTTCTGTGAATATTCCCATATTGTGGTCAGTCTGACAGACCCTTCGAAATGGAGGTGCAGTTCCACCTAAATTTAAATATACATTTTTATTTAGTAATTAAGTTTTATATTTTATATTATAACTGACTCTAGATTTCGGAACTTTTTTAACGTCGATTAGTTTTCTTAACAGCGATGACATGGCTAATAATTGTAACTTAATCTGTCACTCAATGCTTTATATATATATTGTATATAATTTTTGAGATTAAAAACTTGAATTTATGATTTGTAAAATAAATTTCTCACTCGAGTGGAAATTAACTTTAAATAAATTTATTAGAAATAGTAGCGTCTTTCAAACGTTTACCAATTAATCATTACTATCACACTATAAATATTAACTGAACCTTGAGATAAACATTTTTGTGATATCAATGATTTACTTTTATTAATAAAATATTCAACACAATTTCATCATGCAAATTCATATTTATTGCATTTGCTTACAAATCAATACAGATTAAAATAAGTCAATAATAAATTCAGTTATCAAAGTAATTGGAATTAAAAAAGTGATTACAATAATGTTAGTAATGTTTAGTAACATTAATGAATTTATTTCATAATCACTTGTTGTACAAAATATATAAACTTAAGAGATTTTGTCAATTGATTCCATACACAGAGTAGAGTT